TTAATTTATAAAATAATTTGCTGCCAACTATCTTTTATTATTACAATTCAGTTCTAAAACTTTGATATATACATCTCCTGTAGCACACTCCCTAGTTCATATCAACCTTTTCTCCTCTACCAGCATCAAGGCAGTTCAGCATCAAAAGAGATGAGACCCTCTTAAATCTAGTCCCACCCACCCCCTCTTTAAGTTAGGCGGCTAACATGCACAGTGCACAAACATGTTTGCTTCCCCCTCCCTCCCCTTCTCTCTCTGACATATCTTTAAAACATTTCCACATTCCTTTTTTCTTTCTTACATTTTATCTGGCACAGGGGTCTGCAACCTTTAAGACAAAAAGAGCCACTTGGACCCGTTTCCGAAGGAAAAAAAACCTGGGAGCCGCAAAACCATTGCGACATTTAAAGCATGCATGCCGCTGCCCTCCGATCTGACAGCGGGCGGGAAGGTGACGTTGGGACGGTGCGTGACTAACGCACGCACTGCCCCCGTGCGACGTCACAGCCAGTACAGCGCCCGCCACAGTGGGGAGTGTCGGGGCGCACAATGCGCCTCCTCCCCTCGCTAGTATCTGTCCCGGAGCCGCGGCAAAGGTGTAAAAGAGCCACATGCGGCTCCGGGGGCGCGGGTTGCAGACCCCTGATCTGGCAGAATAGAGCATTACACTTACAGCAACCCTATGAGGTAGGTCGCAATCGGTCTCATTTTATTGGGGATGGGAGTTCTGGGAAGCATGATTTGAAATGCAAACATTTAAGAGAATACTAAGCTGATCATTTTTACTCCACTTTTCTGAGCTCCCGGTTCTGCCGTGACAGTGGAAGGTGAGGTCAGACTTTCCTCTCACCAGCTGTTTGGCATTGTAGGAAATGGGGTTTGGCTACTGTCCTCATGCGAAATTTCCTGGGCTTGTAACAGACCCTGATTTTACTCGAAGGCTCTAAACTTTTGTTTGGCAGATTCCCTAAACAAATTCACTACACACATTACTCCAAGAAGCTGACACATTTGTGGCTTATAAGACAATCGGAGCAGCCATTGGCGAAATGCCTTCCTTTTCTCAGAGTATAAACACTAAGCAGTTCGGTGCTTGAGAAATCGATGGGACAACTCTTGGGAGCTCTGTTTCCAATTGGAAACAGAAACCATAAACTATATCTGCCTCCACCTCAGCCATTGGGTTTAGTGTTAAACATGGTGTGGGTGGGTGTGGCTTATATCGACATTATACCAAGAGTTAGGTATTGAAACAATGCATTTTTTGGGCCTACTTCTTAATGAGTTGGAGCAAATCTAATGGATCTGCACTGTACTTCTTTAGGCCACATAATGAAATGCTCCTCCAAATTAGAAAATAAAGAGAGGGGGAATATTTGCACATAGAAATATAGCAAGTCAGGGGGAAGACTGGCATTCCTACCATGCTAAATTTCTGAGTGCAGTGTGTGTGTGTGTGTGTGTGTGTGTGTGTGATGCCGCCATAATGAGAAGAACTCTGTTCTCCCCAGACAGCAGAACAGAGGTGACAGTCAGGTTACAACACAATCTGATCGCTGGGAGGCCTTGTGTAAACTGATGCTCCCTTGGTAAGGTAACTGACCTCCATGGGCTCTGGCTGATCTGTGCTGTATATGGAGCCAAGCAGAGGGAACGTTGCAATGGTTGTGATATACTATGTGCAGGTCAGCCAAAGACCACATAGCTCAATTATCTTTTCCTTCTGGAAGTGCTTATATATGCTTCCTCTCCACTTGCAGGCACATCAGTTGCAAACCGGGTGAGTTGATCTGGGGGTATGATGAGTCCTTACGAAGATTCCTGAGATTCTGAACAAGGGCTTTGCCTGGAGTCTCTCATTTCCCACACAGAACTACAATTCCCAGAGTGATTTAACAGTCCATCTCTCTTCCCAAGGAATAAGGATATCCTGGGGACTGTAGCTCTGTGAGACGACATGGGGTATCTCATAACTCTCAGCACCCTAAACAAGCTAGAGCTCCCAGGATTCTCTGGGAGAAGCCATAACTGTTGAAAGTGGTATGATACTGCTTTAAATGTGTAGTGCAGATGATGCCACAGAGGGATAAGCTTGCTATGTTCTCTCGTTTCCTCAGCTTAGATGCAGACCAAAAGAAGGGAGGAAGGCGGGAAGGCGGAGAGAAATGTTGCCAACATTCATGCCCAATGCCACCAATCAGTAGGGACTTCCATTGCTTGGCCAATCTAGACAGATTCTGGGAGGCAGTTAGTGAGCAGCTCCCAAGGGAAGGCTGCCTCACACTTTCCTATCAACTAGGGCAGCTGTTCTCAAGCAGGCTGCAGCTTGCCTGGAGCTCAGCTGCCAGGAAGTCCAGCACCAAGGAGCAACAGCCTAATTTCACCCACAGCACCCTTCACAGATCATTGCCAGAGGGCAAAATCTGAAAGAGGTGGAAGGTGGGGAAGTCACTGATGGGAATCGGCTCTGCTCACACTTCAGCAAAGCTACAGGTGAGAAAAAGTGCCAACAAGAAGTTACTGTAGTCTGCCTCAGGGACATTAATTAAATCCTTTTGGGAGGGAAAAATCTACTCCCTTAACAAGAAAAATCAAGCCCCAGAATTTGACACCAAAGCGCCTTCGCTATTTCCATTCTATAACTTGCCACCTTTTGTGCTGCCTGAGGGAAATGGCACATGGAGACCACACCAGGGCTGTTTGGCTGCTTCCCTATTGAACATCTTCTCATTATGTCTTTGCAAGCTGTCAGGCTATCAGATTTCAAGGAGGGGAAATAAAGAACCCAAACTTTAACTGGATTCAAATGTGAGAAATGTTACACATGGTTACAGTCGGGGAGCAAGAACGGTGGGTGCCATACCTGTTCAAGCACTGATAAGCCAATGCCACACAAGACAGATAGCATTGACTGTGCTCGTTCACCAAGGTCAACTGTAACCCCCAAAACTCCTCAGCTGCACTTGAAAAGGACACTTATTTCTAATCAAGACAGTTAACTGGCAAATGCAAAACATGGGTGCCCTCACTTCAAAATGCTTTCATGCTGAAAATTCCAGGGAGAAACAAGTGGACAAACGGCAGAGGTGAACAGTCAAGCAGCGATTTGGAAAGAAAGCATTAGTAGTGAACCTGAGGGCCTTGAGGAGGGAAAAGCACAACTACTCTCAATGCAAGAGAGACAAAGGTTTTAACTTTGCATCTATCAAGAGGGCACAGATGCAAATTGGCAGCTCTGTAGACAGGAGCCATTGCTCAAAAATCTCCTGCAAGAAGCTTGGCTGACACTCCACTGGTTTTATTCATGCAGTGTTACCCCACCTGCTTACATTTTCACAAAAAAGCCTCCAAAGCCCAACGCTGACCATGATCAAGCCCCTAAAACATTAACCCCCCCAGATGTTTCTCAGGATGTGTTTTAGTATCCACAGCCCAGTAAAAGACACATTCCAAGGTTCTATTGTAGCTGAGGAGGACTTCAGACTTCAAGGTCACTCAGTACTCCCCATGTGAATCCTCCACAGAGTTATAAACCCTTATTTATCTATCCACAGTCCAATGTCTTTGCCAGTTGTGTGAAACCAACTGTAGAGGACATCCACGGCTTATTTGACCAGCCTACTATAATGCTGGGCCCTTTTGTATGGGCTAAGAAACAGGGATTAAATCATGTATGCATAACGGAGGCCATCACAGACCAATTGCAGCGCAAATGTATAGTGGAACTTCAGCTCACCATACAGAAAAACCACAGCAAGAGAGAGAACTAGACCTCTCTAAAATTCCTCTCTATGGGCATTTGCTTTCATTTGCAAAAACACAAAACCAAAGACCTACCTTGCTTCTTTTCAATGCCTTTGTGTGCACTAACGTTCAACATTTGGTGACACATTTGCCAATGGGAAACGGCCAGGCTACAGCCTCCATTTCAAGCAAGCTTCCATGTATTTCCAGAAAGGGGATACAAGTGAAAAAAGAAGTCCCCAGTGTACATGAGGTCTAGCGGTATAATGAAGATTTGTCTTAAACAGTTTCCCCTTTTTCCACTAGGCTACTAGTGAAGATGATAAAGTTTTCAGGTGGTGACAACCAGTAGCAGAAAACAGTGTGTGCAAACTCTCACCGCTACATGAAGATTTTGTAGGTGGCTCATCCCTGCTATGAGTATAAATTTTCTCTGCTCAAATTCTCAGTTCAAGGCTTTCATAGCTTCCATGATTTGTTTTTTTAAACCCACATTCTCATGTGGATACAGGATACAGAAGCCACAGCAATGTAGTTTACAACTCAATCTCCCACCCTTACCAGGGATCAAATGTGTCAGGGACTAGAGAGAGGTTTCACGTGCAAACGTTTAGAACACCTTTGCTGTGGTTTCTTCCACATCAGGTAGAGTTGTAGTGGTAACCACGTAACCTAAGCAACTGTTTTGTCACTTTTCATACTTGTCCAGATCCCAAGTCTACCAGCACAGAAACCCAAAGCAAAGCCTGAAAAGGGAACTTATCAAATATGACACAGTGGATTCAAGCTATAAGAAAGGAGATTCCAACTCAACATCAGAAAGACCATTCTGACAGGAAGAGCTGTTTGACAGCTGAATGGTCTCCCCTGGGAGGTGGTGGATTCTCAAGGTTTCTAAGCAGGGGCTGGATGGCCATCTGTCATGCATGCTGAGTTGAGATTCCTGAACTGCAGGAGGCTGGACTAGATGATCCATAGGGTCCCTTCCAATTCTACGATTTTATAAAATCAAAAACCTCTTGAAACACCTGAAGCCAAATATTATCACTGCAGAATCATGGTCACTGAGAGAGAAAGATCCACAACTTCACAGCTAGATTGGTGCTTCTCCAACTGAGGGGAACTCTTGTTGTATGGGGAATTAAACTATCCTTTGACCCAGAAAGCCATTCACGACACACTCCTCATTTAAACACAAAATATCCAACCAATGTGAAAAAGTAGCATCAGACCTGGGGATTGTTTCCCCAACTTACCTCTATGTCTGTTGGTAGTCTTGTCAAACATAAGCATGGCATCCTCTACCTGCAAGACAAAACAAGAAGTTTGGTTTAAAGGTCTTCAAAAAAGTGCTTAAAGTTATACCAGAAAGCAGCTGATGGTCCCCAAAGCCACTTTTCCTTTGTATGACATTAGAAACATATAAATATTTGCATACACGCATAAAATTGATTACAAAAAGAAAAGAGAGCATTTATAGATGAAGACATAAGAAAGGAGTGCATAATATTAAATCTTAATGTAGATAATACCACATCCATTCTTATTATTAGCATACTTATGTGTGGTTTAACTTCAAAAGGGGCAACAGTTGTATCTGCAGTAATTGACTTTTGATAAATACTTTTGCATATTGTCCAACAAACATATGAATGTGCCTTTTCATTGTTTTATTACATTGGTGTCTGAGATTCAAGGCAACAGCAGCAGAGGTGCACCCAAAATAAGTGCATCCCAAGAGGCCCATGGGTTTTCCCATTGGCCCCAGACAGTTCCTGTATCGTGGGTTATGTTAGATCCAACCCTGTGACAGCTTTATGAGTGGGATCCAAGTAGAGTTCCAATTTTAAAAGAAGGCTACTGCTGAACCGGGGACCTGTATCCAACCTGCTCTGTCTGCTAATGCATAAGCCCTTGCACTTGCAAATGGCAGGCTGCACCAGAAAGGACTCCAACACAAAAGGTGTGCTAGCGGAAGCTTGTTGTGTAACAGCTGATATTATTGTTGTTACTATTATTACACAAGAACATGTAGACACCCCAAAAAAGGTAACAGAGGAAAAAGTAGTGCAACAGCTTATTCTTGTTGTACAATACATTGCACCACAATCTTTGTACTGCTACTTGTGTTTTCCCTTGTGCAACAACATTCTGCCAGAGCAACAAATAAGTGACTTTAACTTAAAGGTAGACATTGGATACAACTCAAGATAGCTCCCTGCCAGCTCACCTCACCAACAGTCCCTACCTTCAGGGGAGCTGCATGGAAGCAAATAAGTACAACCATTAGGAACTTACTCCCCTCCCCCACAAAAAAACCCGTAATAAAACTGATACCACACACAGTATTGCCCAGCTTAAAAGCCTTTGTCCAAAAAAAACCCTCCTGAAATTGAAGCCCCCCCCCACTTCTCTGACCCCCTCACCAATCTACCACAGCAGCTGGGGGAACATAAGAGACACACCCACAGGCTCAGCTGGAAATATAAAGCCCTGACCTTCCTTGGGGAAAGCCACTGAACCTTAAGAGGTTCCAACAGGGTGTCCAGGGCAGAAACCTGATCAGCCACAAAGGTATTCAAAAGCCCTTTTGAAAAGCCACAGGAGATTGTGGGAAAGAGGAAGCGGGAGGCTACATTTGCATTGGTTCTGGCATTTCCACTTCAGAGAAGAGAAGGGTCTTGACTGACTAAATGTATCCAAGTGTGACAAAAAATGGCTTTCAAGTTCTGTCATTATTTGCATGATTTATTCCACCTACCTTTAATCTGCACAGCCACACCTAGGTTCAACACTCTTTCTGAAAGTACTGCTTTCAGAAAGATAAATCAGTACTCTGAATTATTTTCAGCCACATCATTCATTCCCACCACCACCACGTGCTGTCCCTGTAGAGTTTTCGGGACGTTTCACTGGCATAATACCATGCCCTTAAAAGAAATGTCCAAAAGAATTTGTCTGGAAGTGAAGCAAGTCAAAATAATAGTCTTAACCAAATGGAGATTTAATAAGGAATCTGATTTAAAAAACAAACCAACCAGGATGGCAATAAATAAAAGCCTCTTGAATGGATGTCATGCTTTATTTAGCTCTGTAGATCAGCAACAACTTTGTTTGATCATCAACAGTGCTTGAAAGGCTCAGAAAGTTGTGAACTATGGGTCTACAAAACATTTTATCACCTGCATTTAAAGCAGATGCAATTCTTAAAAATTATTGGTCGGGGGATATCCTTTCCTGCCCCTCATTGTGTATAAAGGTACTCTTTGACTCACTGTTGTAAAAGGAAGGATAGTACTGTATGTAGTACAGTGGTGCCTCGCAAGATGAAATTAATTCGTTCCGCGAGTTTTGTCGTCTTGCGATTTTTTTCGTCTTGCGAAGCACGGTGTCGGGAAAGTTTTGGAAAAGCTTCAAAAATCACCAAAGTCTTCAAAAACCTCAAAAAAGGCTACCACGCCGCATGCTATGAGTTGCTCCTCGAAGTCAAGTCGCAACTGTATTAACGGTGTTAAGAAAAAGGAAACAAACTTGCAAGACGTTTCTGTCTTGCGAAGCAAGCCCATAGGGGAAATCGTCTTGCGAAGCAGCTCAAAAAACAAAAAACCCTTTCGTCTAGCGAGTTTTTTGTCTTGCGAGGCATTCGTCTTGCGAGGTACCACTGTATCAGCACCATCCACTAACCAACTGAACCACTCAGGCTGCCTGTACCATTTAATGGTGCTGACAACACCAAGGTTGCAGGTTTGATTCCCGCATGGGACAGCTGCATATTCCTGCATTGCTAGGGGTTAGACTAGATGATCCTCAGGGTCCCTTCCAACTCTACAGTTCTATAGTTCTCTATAGCTTTATCACCTGCAGCAGGACTCGCCACTTCATTCTGCTACAATGGACTGTGTGTTTCGGGAAGGAGGAGCCAGAGTCAGGCAGCCTCATCTCCCACTGGCCCTGATGGCAGATGGGTTCAGCCCCCTGGCCCCTACCCCGGGGTCAGTTTATAGAATCATTAACTGATTTGAACCGGATGCAACTCATCGTGATGGCGAAAAGTTTCAGCGAGTTCCCAGGAGGCAGACACTCTGAAGTCCCTTTGTTCACAGAGTTGCTTTAAGCTCCTTTTGTCGCTAGGGTAACAAACAGCAAGGAACTCAGTCGACAAGGGAGCTGCTCTTTGTCTAAGGGGAGAGCACCACACACGGTGACGCAGTCATCTCCGCATTAGCTGTAACCTAGGTGACGGTGCTGCAAGCCAGTTGGCACATGAATTCCCCCCTCACCAAACTTCAGCCTACCCGAGCAACAGGTTCATAAAAGTATTACACATGCATTTGCAAGAGCAAGTTTGGGTGCAGGGAATTGTCCAATGCCTTCATTACTAACGTATTCCTCACTCTCTACTGGAAAATTCATTCATCTAATTTTACTTGATGGACTTACGCCAGAGGTTGTTGTTGAATTCCAATTGGTTAACAATGGCAACAATAAAAAGGCTCTCTCCCCCTACCAAACCATAAATTAGATTCCTTACTACCTCAGATATTGATTTGTAACTGTATATGCAGGACATCCCAACGTATGGATTGTGGGGTGCAGTAAGCATTTTTTTAAAAAAATGTATCCCACCAGACAGTTCATATGGTTCCCCTCTCCTGTTTTATATTCACAACAACCTTGTAAAGTACTGAGAAGTATACGTTTATGGCTGAATAAGGATCCAAGCCCAGTTCTCTCTGGTTCTAGTGTGACATCGCAACCACTTCACCGCACTGTTCCATTAAAACGTCGTCATGCGTAACACCATCATGCCTTGCCATTCTTGGAAGACTGATACATGAACAATCTTGCCATGGGGAGTGGAATCGGCCCTGCCACCTACTGGCTCCTTCAGAGCTATGACCTGCTTTAGAGGGACAATTTTGATTCTCTTTCTTTCCCTCTACTGTAACACTTTTATCACTCTGTGGTGAACACTATCGCTTGTATGACTGAGGTGGCATGGTGCCTGGACTCCCATGGGGTGCCCAGTGTGCAGTGCACAGCTATAAAGTGCTCAAATATGCCAGGGTGATGAGATGAAAGTTCGGGCATTCATACTGAGGAGCAAACGGCAGGGTTATGACATTTCTGATTAACTCGGACTGATGACGGTGGGAAAATAAACAAGAATTTTGGATTAGGCTCTGAAAACAGCCCAGTAAAAAGGAAGGGGGGGAAAGGTTTCAGCAGAGACAAAAAGGGACAGACAAAGCTGGGAGTTATAATACTGGGTGGAGCTGGACGAAGTTCTCCCAAGCACCGCTTTTTGTTTGTACCTATCAGTGGGTGATACCCCTGGATGTTTTAAAGCTAGGATGCCCTTTCAAGCCAAGCCTAATTGGTTATCCTTTTTTTTGTGCTTCCTAAGGTCAGAACATTTTATCTCTGCCTCAGCCCTTTCTAAGTTTGCCCCACCCCACGTGATATATTTTTTTTTTGTAGGGCACCCATTGTCACAGAAGAATAGCCTCTTTCCTCAGCAGCCAAGTGACACAATGGCACTACTCAATACCCCCTGAACAGATAAAGTGCAGCAAGGAAAGAGAAATTCTATAAACGCCTCTACAAAATAAAACATGTAAGTTGACAGGAAAGGGGGGAGTTTAAGGGTCAATATGAATAAGGCTGAGTTCTTAGAAGAGAAAAAAACTTTTTAAAACACACACACACACAGCGAGAAAGAGAGAGAGAGAGAGAGAGAGAGAATATCATATCATTGCCAGGTAAAGGGGCTGAGAGTTAGAATGCGGTTATTCATTCAGTCAGGCCCATTAATGCCCCTGAAATCTAAGCACAAGAGCCTGAAGAGAAACCAGTAGGCATCTGAATATGCAAAAGCTAAAAAAAAATGGACTTTCTCACGGGTGTCTGTTCCATCAAGACACAAGCTTCTTGTGCCTTCCCATCAAGGGAGGAAAGAAAAGTCAAGGTACCTGGCATGAAAACCAGAGGTTAAGCAAACTGATCTCTCTCATTCCCCCAGCCATATTGGTCCATGAAGCCCTAATGAAACTCTAGCAAGATTTGGAAGCAGTTTGCAAAATATAGTCCAGGAGTTACCGTAATCCCATTTGTCTTGGTTTTGATTCATTACAAGGAGTGTGTAACCAAGAGGAGTGCATGTATGCACACACACCTTTAAAGGGAGATGTGAAATAAATGAAGTATCTTTTTTTATTTATAGAAGTATTTATATACATTCCTCTTACAAAACATCGATCTTGTCCAGTACCCTGCCTCCCACAACAGCCACCATTTCCCTCCAG